AGTTTAACACTTTAACGACCGCACGTCTACGCAGTCAAACGTCGCCAGGGGCCGGCAGTATTTTTGAAGAATTAATTTGAAAGAACTTTATTAAATTCACGAAAAAGTTAACATAAAGCAAAAAACAAATAGGCAATAATTACCTATAATCAAAGACGTGACAATGAAATATGAAGCCAATAGCAATATCCACACTTGTTTACATTCATAAATTATCACACAAAGAGTGTGGTACTGGCCAACAACCTTCGGCGGCAGCATCGCACACATGTTGTGTGAGCGGTCGGTAACGGTTGTTCCGGCTATCACACACATGTTGTGTGAGCGGTCGTTAAAGTGTTAATCCTTAGCGGACGACGACCTTTTCGGACGAGTCAGGCAGCAGGTCGAGGCGATTTTTGTAAATACAGTAGTGTCTCTCTAACTGACGCCCAGATTGACCACAAAAATGGACAATTTGGGAAGAGGAGATACGATTCGAGCCTTTTATATATTGTTAACAATTATAAAAGCGAGCTGCAAGGCTCGAACAATCGTATCGCCTCTTCTCAAATTGTCCATTTCTGTGGACAATTGAGCGTCAGTAAGGGAGACATTATTATACAGTAATGTCTCTCTAATTGACGCTCAGATTGTCTACAAGAATGGACAGTTTAGGTAGAGAAGATACAATTATTCGATCCTTGCGGTTTATTTTTATAGTTACGAATTGTCCACTTTTGTGGACAATCTGAGCGTCAGTAAGGGAGACATTACTGTATGTCGAGTGTCTTATATGGTAGAATAAAATGATCTCGCATATAAATTACCTTACGAAAACGTTATATTTCGTTAGTTTATCTACAGGATGTCCCAAAGTTATGATATTTCCGTCTTTATGCACTAAACGGCGCAAATAATGTTATACGAACTAACTACAGTAATGTCTCCCTTACTGACGCTCAGATTGTCCACTAAAATGGATAATTTGGGAAGAGGAGATACGATTATTCGAGCTTTGCGGCTCGTTTTTATAATTGTGAACAATTTGTAACTATAAAAATAAATCGCAAGGCCCGAACAATCGTATCTTCTCTTCCCAAATTGTTCATTTTTGTATACAACCTGAGCGTCAGTAAGGGAGACATTACTGTAGTCCGCATTGCTATCTCTATTAACGATAATATACAGGGTATCCCAAAGTTATGGTATTTCCGAGAAACGAGGGATTCCTGAGGTGATTTAAAGCAACTTTTTCCTTTGTAAAATTTTTCTCCGAGGCATCGTTTACGAGTTATTAACGAAAAAGCACTGACCAATGAGAGGCGAAAGCTTGTCTAGCGCTAGGCGGCCGAATCAATCAGCGGAACCGAGCACCGTACGCTCGTTGGCTCGGTCGCCGCGCGCCAGCCAAGCTCGCCTCCCATTGGTCACACTGTTTTTCATTAATAACTCGTAAACGAAGCCGCGGATTGCAATTTCGCTGAGGAAAAAGTTACTTCAAATGACCTCAGGAACTCCCCATTTCCGTATTACGAGCCTTTTTTGGGACACCCTATAGAAGATCAATTATGTCAATTATAAAAGCATTTGTATCTGATAGCTACGAAGTGTGAGCAGTGATATATAAATGTGTAAGTCGTAGAATCGAGGCTGTAAAAGCACACATTTGTAATTTCATCATTTCCCGGAAATACCATAATTTTGGAACACCCTGTATATTCACGATTTTATGAGGACTAAGACTGTCGCCTCGCACTCGTCACTCGTCCTGCCGCGCGAAACAGCGCGGCGACCGAGAGTCGTTAATCTCGTCCGCTAAGGGTTGAACAATGTAAGTGAACGTGAACGGCGTACCTGCTCGGTATCGAGTAGATGATGCGACCTAGGAACGTCGTCCGAGCCGGGCTTGTGCAGATCCGGGACTAGGTTCAGCCAAAAGGAGAGTCTGTGCGCCCTGTAGTGGTTCTTCAGCTTCGACTTGAGCTCTGAAAACACGGATGGGTTCTCAGCGGATGGGGTCGGCGGTGGTGAAAGAGGTGGAAGAAAATAAAGAAGAAGACACAGACGTCGAGTAGGAAAAGGGCAAAACGAAGAAAGAAGAGCGAGTCCCAGGGGGGAACGCGATAGGGTCCACGGCCGGCCGTGCCAGCTACTCGCACGCCGGCCTCTCGAGGATGGTTTTCCACGAAGCCCTTTCGCAGTAACAGCGAGGTAATTAATTATTGTCGCGTGGTAATCTCATACAGAAGGCAGCTTCGTTAGTCAGTGTGCCTCAAAGTTCGAAACTGGCGAGTCGCTACTGTTGCGTCAGGCGGAGCCGGTCGCTGCTAAGGTGGAGGGTGGTTAACCCTCGGGCTGGCTGTGCCCCGACTTTTCTACTTGCGGCGACGACGCGGCATAGTTTGAGCTGCACTGCGCTCGAGTGCGAGCGAACTTTCCCGCTCCGGCGTTATTCAGCTCGTGCTGCTCACTGGATTCTCTCGTCCCCCCTCCCCCTCTTCCCGCTGGGGGGTTACTTGTCGCGTTAGAATCATCGTAGCAAGAAAGACGGCGCTCGGAAAAAATGGGGAAATTATTAAGTTGGCAAGAAAGTAATTTCGGTTTGCATAAATAGATAGCGTTATGTTTGCATTGGCATTATTTTGCTAAGGTTATAATTATTTTGTATCCGGCTTTGGTAGTCGACACGTTTAAGTTACTATGGAAACAAATTCCGTGTAGTTTTGTTTATAACTGCTAGTTTGCTGTAAATTTTAACATGGAGTGCAAAAATGAATATTCTCGACGCGTTTTACTTTTTTATTTTCATAAAGGCAAGAAAGCGGCCGAGGCTCGCAAAGAGATATGCGAAGCTTATGGCGTCGATTGCTTAATAGAACGCACGTGTCAGAATTGGTTCAAAAAATTTCGTTCCGAAGATTTTTCACTTAAAGATGACCAACGATTTGGTCGATCTTCCGAAGTTGACGATGACAAAATCAAAGCCATAATTGAATCGAATCGTCGTATAACTGTACGAGAGATTGCAAAAAGGTTAAATGCGTCGCACGCAACAATCGAATGTCACGTAAGATGTCTTGGACTTGTTAAGAAGCTCGATGTTTGGATTCCGCATGAATCGAAAGGAATTCACTTAACGCAACGAATCGGTATTTGCGATACGCGTTTTAAACGTAACGCGGTCGACCCTTTTTTGAAACGAATTATCACCGGTGATGAAATATGGATCGTTTCCAATAACATTAATCGAAAATGGTCATGGTCCAAGCGTGACGAACCAGCAGAAACCATATCGAAAGCTGAATTGCATCGGAAAAAGATCATGCTGTTAATTTGGTGGGACTATAAAGGTGTTGCGAATTTTGAGCTGCTACCAAGCAACCAAACGATCAACTCGGATGTTTACTGCCGACGACTTATGAAATTGGAGGAAGCGATCAAAGCGAAAAGGCCAGAATTGACAAATCGCAAATGAATCGCGTTCCACCACAACAATGCGAAGCCTCGTACATATTTAGCAACGCGTGCAAAATTATTGGAGCTTGTTTGGAGAGTGATGTCGCATTCTCCATATAGTCCTGACTTTGCACCATCGGGGATTATCATTTACTTCGAAGTTTACAAAACTTTTTAAATAGTAAAAATTTCAATAATAACGATAGCTTCGTATCGCATTGAGTTTTTTACTGACAAGGTCCAGAAGTTTCATGAAACTGCTCAACCGCGCTCATGAGCGCGGAACCATGAAGTTAGCAGAAAGATGACAAAAGGTCATCGAACAGAATGAAAAATATTTGAGCGATTAAAGTTCATTTCTTGCAGAGAAAAAAGATTGAGTTCTATCTTACATTGAAATACCGAAATTACTTTCTTGCCAACCGAATAGATTCGAAGAGGACCGCCGCGCGTACAGCGGGAGACGCGATCGTTAATGTTAAAAATTGTGAAGAACGTTCGCCGGTTGCTCGAATGAATTTCGAGAAGCGATTCGTTGAACACGTGAGCGGTGAAACGAGAGTCGTGGCTCGTTACAACGTCGACGGGCGCTGAAAGGGGCTCGTGGGTGACGGGACACCATCGTCGCTTCGTCGGCTTTTCATTTCAGAGTCGCGTCGTTGCAATCCGAAGAACGAGCTACCGGGGAGCAAAAGTGAACTCCTGACGAACTGCCATTCTCGTCTCTCTCCTCGGGAAACGAGAATTATGCAAATAAACCCTCCCTGATCCTCTTAGTTACATGCACGAAGTGCGTGCGAGCTCGCAGAGACTAGATTCATTATACTCACTTTGGGGCGTAATCGGATTAAATAATAATTCTCGGTCCCGGTTTCGAAACGATGCGCCCGAATCCTCCGGCGGAGGCAAAAACGTTCTCATCTGCCGGAAACGAGTCAAGGCTCACGGTTCTCGCGGTGTTCTTGCGTATTCGACCATTCGAGGAAACAATCTACATGCTAATTTTCGCGCCGCCGCGGCTCGCGAACATAAATACCACGTGGGTCGCCTCTTCTTTTTTTTCCCGTTTCGGCCGGTGCTCGAAATTGGACTATTCGGTTTCGGGGTTGAGGAGAGTTTTCCGACATCGTCCGAGACTGTACACCGGCTAATGCTAAGCTGCGAAGTCTGAAGCTGAACTTTTCACGGCGATAGCTTCGCACTTCCCTAACGAGTTCTTTGTACTCTAACGAGAGTTTCAAATGTTTGTCTTCGCCCCCCCCCTCTCCCTCCTTTTAAAGTCAGCGACTCGCTGGAAAATTTGCACCATTGAGTCCTCCGTCCGGGGAACGGTTTAACGAACATCGAACTCGTAGCTTTTCAGAATTTCGAGAATGTTCTTGGCTCTGCTAAACGCTTCGAGATCCGTTCGATCGGCTCCGACGTTTCTTCCCCGACACTTACCGATGCTCAGATATTTCTTGTGCACGGCCTCGTACGCGGCCCAGTCGATGTTTTTGAACTTATTTCGCTCCGATCGCATCGATCCGAGATCCGGACGCAGCGAGCCCAAGTTCGACGTACCCTCGTTCGGATTTCTACGGCGGAAAACGCAATCGCTATAGTTTATTTCCTTCGTTGTAAAATCGTGGTTTTGAACTGCAAATACAGAGAATATGAAACATCGTAATGAATTCCATAATAGCTAGTTCCAAATAATTTATTTTCGAAACGCAACAAAATTGAACCAATTGGACCAATAATATAATAATAATAATAATATAATATAATAATTTAACGGATAAAGGTTATTTATTTATACTTCGATGAAACGAAGTATACAGGGTGTCCCAAAATTATGGCATTTCCGGAAAATAAGGAGTTCCCGAGGAGATTTGAAGCAACTTTTTCCTTTACAAAAATTTTCTCCGAGGCGTCGTTTACGAGTTATTGACGAAAAACAATGACCAATGAGGAGCGAGCTCGCTTGGCGCTAAGCCAAGCGCGCGGCCTTGGCGGCCGAGCCAATCAGCGGAACTGGGCTTCCACCACTGGCTCGGTCGCTTCGCGCCTGCCGAACTCGCCTCTCATTGGTCACTGTTTTCCGTTAATAACTCGTTAACGATGCCTCGGAGAAAATTTTTGTAAAGGAAAAAGTTGCTCCGAATGACCTCAGTAATCTCTAATTTCCCTGAAGTACCATAATTTTGGGACACCCTGTATAACGATAAATTAAAATTTGTCTGTCACGTTCGTGGTACGAAAAACTGCAACAAATCCGAAAAATAAGATGTATTTGTTTATCGGTAAGAGTTTTTAGATGTTCCATGTTGGATACTATTTTTGGAATCATCGATTTTCATTTCATCTCGTTCGTTTACTGTGACGGTAAAAAATTGGAATTTGTTAAAACTTAACTATGCAAATGCGTTCAATTATTGTATACGAGCGCCATTAAAAAAATATTTGCCTGCTTTCGGCCAGCTTCGAGAAAAGAAGATGTTCCATATTCCTAGTGCAAAATTGGATAACTATGTGACAACTTACCCAGTACGTGCGAAATTTGTCAAGTACAGGATCACGCTCTCAGAGAGGGTAATCTCGGATTTGGTATAATTCTTCGGCCAGTGCGATAGGCCGCCTACTATGGGTGCTCCAAAAAAATATGGCAGGTCCTCGCCGTGGATGCAGCCTGGCCTCTGCAAACAGAGTTTTAAACGATTTAGCTGTTGGAGATCTCCGAAAGGCGTTATACACATTTTCGTTATTAGCTCAGACAAAAAAATGTGAACAAACGTGATTTTTTAAACCAGTTCTTCTAACGCTTAATCTGGAGTCATTTTCATTTTGGGCCAATTTGTAAAAAGTTTTAAAGCCGATTCGAAGTTAATTTTGTAACTATTTTTCCTCATAATTAGTTAATATTTAAATATATATAATATATATAATATAATACAATATTAACTTATTATATATTATATATATTATTATAATATTATATTATATTATAATAATAATATAAATTGAGAAATATTAACTTATTATATGTCATATATATATTATTATAATATAATATTATTATATGGACAATTTGTAAAGCGAAGGTACGATTAATCAAGCCTTGCGGCTCGTTTTTATAGGTACCGATTTCCAACAATTATAAAAACGAGGTGCGAGGCTCGAATAATCGTATCATTATTGTACATCAATAAAACCACCGCGCCAACTCTTTTACTTTCTTTTATCTTTTACTCTCCGCTTTTACAATTTATCAGCGACACCAGAGCGTTAAATCGTTATTTCCGATTAGACGATTTGTAACAGCGACTGAAAGATTAACCGAGGAACGTGTGTCTACATCCTGTAAGCTCTCGCGAGACAGCCGACTGTCGGCTTCGTTCCGTTGTCGTCGAATTTCTTCCCGATTCTATCTCGGAACGTCTGAATATACAGGGTGTCCCGAAAATGTCTCGGAATCCGGAAATGGGAGGTTCCTGAGGTCATTTGAAGCAACTTATTCCTTTGCGAAAATTTTCTCCGAGGCACCGTTAACGAGTTATTAACGAAAAACAGTGACCAATGAGAGGTGAGCTCGGCTGGCGCGAGGCGACCGCTCGACCGCTGGCGCTGTTGACTCGGCCGCCTCGCGCCAGCTGAGCTCGCCTCTCATTGGTCACTGTTTTTCGTTGATAACTCGTTAACGGTGCCTCGGAGAACATTTTTGTAAAGGAAGAAGNCGAGGCGACCGCTCGACCGCTGGCGCTGTTGACTCGGCCGCCTCGTGCCAGCTGAGCTGGGATTCGACCGCTCGACCGCTGGCGCTGTTGACTCGGCCGCCTCGCGCCAGCTGAGCTCGCCTCTCATTGGTCACTGTTTTTCGTTGATAACTCGTTAACGGTGCCTCGGAGAACATTTTTGTAAAGGAAGAAGTTGCTTCAAATGATCCGAGGAACCCGCCATTTCCAGATTGCGAGACATTTTTGGGACACCCTGTATGGACGGAATATACAGTATCAGACTCTGAACAGTACATATCAGAATCTGCCGTCCAGGGAAATAGTCTCGCGCAGAATTCACTCGTACCTAAAAGGTTGATGGTGCCTCGGAGAAAATTTTTGTAAAGGAAAAAGTTGCTTCAAATGACCTGAGGAACTCGCCACTTTCGGATCGCGAGAGTACATTCTTGGGACACCCTGTATATATTTTCTTGCTGGTGCGTCGGGTAGACACGACCGAGAATCCACAAAGGTAGCCCCCGACTGAAGTATTGATGGCATTTTAACGACGCGGACGTCGCTCATATTTCAAACGGCGGAAAGGTCCTTCCGGCAGACGAGCAGGGAAGATATCGAGGTGGAAGAGAGGCTGGATGAACGGCACACGGCATGATATGTGCTCGAGCCAGAGTTCCGAGATTACTCCCGGCCTTTCGACGGTCGACTTCGCCGCGGGAAGGTACCCTCTTCGAATACCCCTCGTTAAGTCTGAAAGATCGGTGTTCTCGGAGAGAACGGAGAGACCGGCAGGGAAGCGTGGCTCTCTGCCGTAGCCGCTGGACGTTCTCTCCATCGCCCCGAAAAATTGGGAATTTCCTGGCTCAAAGGGTCTTCCATTGCCTTGAAACGGAAACCAAAAGGAACGCCGGCTGATCCGTTTTCGTCTGATAAAGGCAGAAACTTTCATTCCGGCGAGATGTTTATCCGGGGAATTTCGAGGTGAGCGCGGCCGGCCGGGGAGCTACTACTGAATAATTGTCTGCGAAACTTTTGGCTCTCCGTCGCGTCGTTTGTAGTTTCAATTTTCAAAGGGACGCCGCGTTGTTTCGCTCCATCCCGCCGGTGGTTTCCTTCCGATCAAATATCGCGTTTTTGGTCGGCCCCCGGCCCGGCCCGGCCCGGCGAGGGCGCGAGTAACGGGGACGGGGAAAGAGTTGATTTGTTCCGACAAGATTGAAGCTGGAAACTTCCCTTTGAGCACGCCGTCGATAGAGAACTTCTGCATCTTTCGCGGTGTCGGCATTCTCTCTCGCGAATATTTCCACCCTCCGTCGATTCGCCGTGCCGGTTTTTCACGTCCTTTGAAAATCGTGTAACAACATGCACATCGCCGGACGAACTGCTGCTGTTGCTGCTACTTGCATCGGCGACGTCTCGCGAACGAATTTTCCTCTCTGCTCGTTTCGTTATGCAAATACGTTTCCCTGTTTTTCACGAGGCTAATCCGTCGGCTCGGAGGGTCCCGGCTTCGGGAATCCTCTTCGAAGACGTCAATGTCCTACATTGATCCCGGTCTTTCAGCTTTGCATCCGTCTTGCGATGAAATCGCCGAGCCACCCGGCGAACTTTGAACACTTCACGGATAGTCGAGAAACTTAGCTCCCTCGGCGGGATCCGGATCCATCAACGAGCACCGCTGGAAACAGGTCGATCGAACGGCGTGAGCTCCGCGGCACGACCAACCGTTCTTTTCGTCCTTCGCGCTCGTTTCCTTAATTATCGATCTACTATGTTCGCGTATTCGTTTTCTTTGATCGATAGTAACATGTACAGTGAGTCAAGAAAGACATCGAACACCGTTCAAAGCGAAACTTTTTTTCAAAATTGACCAAATCCCTTGGATCTGTTTGAGATGTTAGAGGAACTATTTCACTTTTTTTTTCATTGTTTTCTGTCGTTCCAATTAATTGCGATTTAACACAATATTTTTTTTGATATTGTCCAGTAAACTAGTCTCGAAATCATCTAAAGAACAATTTTTTTAAGAATTCGACCAGATGATTTGAATTAGTTTGAGGTGATAGAGAAACCACTTAACTTTTTTCATTGTTTTCTGTCATTCCAATTAATTGCGATTTAAGACAATATTTTTTTTTGATATTGTCCAGTAAACTAGTCTCGAAATCATCTAAAGAACAATTTTTTTAAGAATTACACCAGATGATTTGGATTAGTTTGAGGTGTTAGAGGAACCACTTCACTTTCTTTTCATTGTTTTCTGTCGTTCCAATTAATTGCGATTTAAGACAATATTTTTTTTTGATATTGTCCAGTAAACTAGTCTCGAAATCATCTAAAGAACAATTTTTTTAAGAATTCGACCAGATGATTTGGATTAGTTTGAGGTGTTAGAGAAACCACTTAACTTTTTTCATTGTTTTCTGTCGTTCCAATTAATTGCGATTTAACACAATATTTTTTTAGATATTGTCCAGTAAACTAGTCTCGAAATCACCTAAAGAACAATTTTTTTAAGAATTCGACCAGATGATTTGGATTAGTTTGAGATGTTAGAGGAACCACTTCACTTTTTCTCATTGTTTTCTGTCATTCTAACTAATTGCGATTTAAAACAAAATTTTTTTAGACATTGTCCAGCAAACTAATCCTAAAATCATCTAAAAAGCAATTTTTTTTTTAAATTCGACCAAATGATTTGACTTAATCTGAGATGTCAGCGGGACTACTTCATTAAAAAAAATATCGAGGAAATCTTTTCAAAAATTGCAACGAGTTCGAGTGACAAGAAAAGAAGCAAATAAAAAAGATGCGAGTTTCTCTAGTCAAGTTCGTCTAACATCTCGAAAAGTTCAATTCAGACGATCCAATTTCACGGATAGCAAAGGAACTTGGCTCCCTCCCCTTAAGGGGATCGAGATCCATCGCAACGAGCATCGTTGAAAATGTAGCTGGAATTTCGCGAACCGCGAGATCTCGCGAAGACGGATCGAACCGAGTGAATCCTCCGTGGCGTGTCCATCGTCCTTCTCGTCCTCCTCGCACGTTGCCTTAATTATAATACCACGGAGTCTGTTCCCTCGCGCGAACATCCGCGATAATTCGCCGCCGCGCCCGTGGATTTTTTCTCTCATTCCACCCCACTGTTTTCCTTCCTCTATTCGGCCGCTTCCCTCGCGCGGACGTTTCGTGTTATTAAATAATTTTACATTCCCTTTCCTCGTCCGCTTTCACAGGCCGGCTGCTTAATTATGCCACGAAACAACCTAGACTTCTATTTACCTTGCCGCTTTCATCTTCGCCACGCCACTCTGTGCTCCTCCGTCCGTTTTAATTACGAATCGCCATTGTTTACCCCCCTCGCCGAGTTACCGGATTCAATTTTTATTTTTTTTTTTAGTTAGTCCTCTCTCGTCTACTTTGCGCAGCGATGGACGGGGAGCCTTCGCTTTCGCCCCGGCTCCTTGTCTTTCTCTCTCGCTTTGTCTATCGCTCGCCCGCTCTCTTTCTCTCTCGTTCTTTGTCTCGCGCCCTCTTTCTTTCGCTTTCTCTTTTTCTATTTCTTTGCCTCTCTCTCTGTCTCGCACCCTCTCTTGTTCTCTATCTTTCTCTGTCTCTTGCACTCTATCTTTCTCTTTCTCTGTCAAAGAGGTCTCGGTCTCTCGTTCTCTCTCTCTTTTCCTCTGCCTTCCTCACTCTCTCTCTCTCTCTCTCTCTTTTACGATACTCTCTCTCTCGCTCTCTCTCTCTCTTACGATGCTCTCTCTCTCTCTTTTACAATGCTCTCTCTCTTTTACGCTGCTCTCTCTCTTTCTCTTACGATGCTCTCTCTCTCTCGATGCTCTCTTCCTCTCGATGCTCTCTCTCTCTTTCTCTCTCTCTCTCTTACGATGCTCTCTCTCTCTTACGATGCTCTCTCTCTCTCGATGCTCCCTCTTGGTGTTCTCTCTCGATGCTCTTTCTTT